TAAACGCGAGCAGTGCTCAGTGGATTGCGTGCCACTCCACACGCATCACAAGAGTTTCGCCCTTGATGACTCGGACCTTGTCAGACCGTTTCACTCTTGGCTTGCAGCGACTGCTTTAATACTTGAGCAGCGCTCAGTGGGTTACGTGTGCCACTTCACGTTCAGCGTGCGAGCCATGCACAGGTCTCTTGTCCAATACATTATCGGTGTCTCAAGGCTATTCCTGCGATGGATGCTCTTCTTTAGCTGGACGAGATGTCCTTCGAAGAGTTTGGCGGTGCATTGAAGGCAAGCGATTTAGCCGACATTATATGACCGAACGAGAAGATTTTTTCGTCATCGATTCTGTATGAAGCTGTCTTGAAGGACACTAAGAGGATGCTGACGCACGAAGTGGATTGTCGATCCTGAAGTATCCCTCGAATTCGTATCATTTTTTGGTCAAGACATTTCAAGACGTCGACTCCAAAGAACCGCCGTCGGTCCTATCTCCGAACCGAGGTGGGATTGGCGTGGTTTCGAGAACTAAATAATGCGGAACACGCCAATAGCACCTGCTCAAAGAGCAGTGTGATGTCATTGACGGTTTATTCCATGCGAAGCACGATGCAGAAATGGTGCGTGAGAGAAAGTCTTTTCATTCGACACCCACGTTTTGTGTCCGGGAGCCGAACGGCAAGTGGCATATCGTTCACGCTTACAATAAGCTCAACACTGCCACCGTTCCGGCACAGACGCTGAATTCCTAAAAAGCATGTTCTCCAAAGCAAAATGGCCGGTTGTACAATGTACAGCGCACTTGACTTGGTCGATGGTATTATCAATTGCTCATGAGAGCGAGTGATATTCCGCTGACAGCGGTGAGTGCTCCGAGCGGGATGCTCTGGGAGTTGATAATGATGCCCCAAGGGCTGTCAAATGCACCACCAACATTAAAATGTCTTGTGATGCAGTTGTTCAGGCCCACCTTCGTCCACATTCGCGCGGGGCACGGGGGTACAGATGAGGTAAATCACATCGTTCATTTAGAAGCGGTTCTCAAATGCATGCGCACGAATAGGCTGTGTGCTAATGCATATTCGGCGCGAAAGAAATCCCTTTTTAGGGTGTTTTATTGGGAAGCGAGGCCTTCGAGCGGATCCCGCAAAGGTCAAGGCCATTGTGGACTGGCCAGGGGTAAAGAGACAAAAGGACTTGCGCAAGTGGCTTGTCCTCGTCAACTACTTGCATCAGTGTAGCGCAAATTATGCGGAAATAGCACGGCCATTGTCTTATCTTCTTAAAATAGATAAGGAATGGTGTTTGGACATCGAGCATCGGGAGGCTTTTGACAGAAGCAAAGACAGCCTGCTTGATGCACCAATGCTGGCGTTACCAGACCCTGATATTCCTTTTAGTGTCGTCTGTGACGCTTCGGCATGCCATCGGCTGTGTATTGTTGAATGCAAACGCCGAAGGGTGAGATCAGGTGATCGGGTTTGAATCTCGCCAGCTCAAGGCTGCGGAGAAGAAATACCCAGTCCACGACTATTCTGATGTAAGCGATTTCAGTGACTGCAACGGGGCTCCCGTAGCGCTTTGTCAAGATGAATCTAAGCTAAGGTCACCGACCTTACGTTCTTTTCAAGAACCAGTACGAGTGTAGCAGATCGCAATCCGCTAGCTTCAAGTACTAAAGCCTTGACCAAGGCGAACGAGCACTTCTGTTCAAGATCAAAACTGTATCTAATTTTTCTAGTTGCGTCAGAGCCGCTAATATTTATAACCTTTGGTTTTCATAATTTTTTTAGTAAAACCTAATTCATATAGCAAAACCTAATACATATAGAAATATGCATTACTACTGCATTCCTGCCACATTGCGACTTCTTGTTACGGTGTAGACACACCGCTGTGTGATTAAACTAACTTGTGTAGTACACACCTTTGTACGGTCGCACCATCTTGTGCAACCCGCAATTTCTCACAAGGGCAAGTGTAACACCGTTACACTCTCACCCGTTAAAATTGAGAATATCCCCAATTCACATTAAACGGTCTTCTCATACGAGGCTCGCGTGTCTGGGACACGTTAACGTTCTTAAGGAACAACTTTAAACCTTCTTCGCTCTATGGGTTGTGTCTACGACACGCAAAACACCTAGCTGATAGCGAGGGCGCCCGCGGCTAAACCCTTCTTTTTCTTCTCCACAGGGTGCATCACCGGACAGTACGTCCGCGGCTTCACGGGAAGCACATTTTAAGCTCTTGGCAACTGGGCGCAACACAACGCGCCCGCCCCGGACGACGAATTTCCTCGCTGAGGAGTTGGAGGAAGTCGAATACGAGTCGAACACCCCTTTTCCAGCATGGGATGACGAGCAAGATGAAGTGCGCCAACGGCGCGACGTGAGCTCAGCTCATACCCTGCGAACACATGTCCGTTCCCGACCACTCGGCTTTCGGAAAAAGTGGTATAATTACCAATCGCTTCGACGAGGCACAGGAGCAGCAATTGGAAGCTGCTCACAGGGCGTCTCGCCCGCGCTCGTACATACGTTCGGATAAGACCCTCATGTGGAATATGGCTTTCGCTCGGCGGATCCCGCCACTGAAGAGAAAGACGCGATCACTCGATCGTTAGGCGTCAACGTAGTCGGGCGCTGGCCACATACACCAGCTGAGCTTGATCTGCGAAAAGCTCTGCATGCTCCGTTTTTAGTACCTCAAGAGATCCCAATGGATTGGTACCGCGCTCGACTTTGAGCTCGAAAAGGAGAAGCTCCTGTTCCCGCAATGCGGACTATCGGTGTGGTACTCGCCCCTGGCGAAACCGCTGCAGATGATAATGTGATCTTTGAGCGATGTGTGCAGTGGCACCGGAGTTCTTTTTATGTCTACCATACAGCGAAGCCACAAGGAAGTGGACGTGCACGTTGACCGCTATCTTTGACTTGAGGCTGCCAAACTCGAGGCTCAAGGCCGAGTTCCCGCGTATTGTAACCCTCAGACACATGGGACAGTCCATAACGCTCCTGCAAGCTCTGTTGTTTCTCACACGGGTGAGTCTACGACAACAGCAGCTCAGGGCCATAACTTGAGCTCAGCTCATGCCCTCCGGCTTCCCGGGCAACTGCCGAAAAGCGCGGTGCACAAGACCACGCGAAAGGTCATGATCTTTCTGATCATAAGTGTCCACGACGTCTGTGCAGTCTTGCCAAGGTCACACCTCAAACTCCCACGAGTTCGCGGAGTTTGAATATTCACGCCACTTCACCAGATATTGGGCTCGCCCCGTCGGCGACGTCGACCCACAAGGCGTTCCAAATGCTAGTGGATGCGACCATTCTCATCGAGAATAGGCGGCGGCGGGCGATGAGACATAGTTGATCGCCGTCCGGTGACTCACAAATCTCTTCGAGCGTAGGAGGCCAAAGTCTGTCGGAATTGACATTCTGCCGAGCATCTCTCCGAGGTCGTCTACCGCTGTGCAAAAGATCTCAAGAGCCTAGGGCACTTTGTGCACCGACTGCCTCGCGTTGAGGATTATCGTGCACTGTCGGAGCGGCTCCTAGCCGTCGAGCAGACTAATACGTCACTTTGTGCGACGCTGGAACACCTTGCGCCGTTGGAAACGGTAATTGTAGTTCCGGGCTCAGAACCAGTTGCTAGATCAACTTCTAGGTGGACGAGCGCCTTTTGGTGCCGCTCCGGTGCCAATGCTTCCGCGATCACTTGCCCCAGATCCCGGTACGGCTTGAACAAACCCACAAGAATACACCGGGTTGGTCATTCTCGGAAATTTCAGCGTATACGATCGCAAAAGGTCCGCAAAAGGTCAATGTACCGTAAATGGAGCTTCGTCTTAAAGGCAGCAGATACTTCATGTATATGAAGGTTTTTTGCTTTTAGTAAAACCAGGTCTCCGACCTAAATGTTTTCAGCATTTCTTCTTTCCCTTCCGTATGCATATTCTTCTGCAAGTCTTGGCTTTCAGCCATCGCATCGCGAACGTGTCGTAAGACACTCAGTCTAGAAGACAGGAAATCTCCAACTTCTTTTCGTACGGTGAGGGGAATGACAAAAGCTAGTCGGTTGGGCACCCACCACCAAGCCCTGAGCCATGGCATGGCAGCGTCAGCGGGACGCGAAGATTAATGAGCCCGTTCACGTGGAACGGCGGATAGCCGATAGATGAGTGCACTGCATTGTTCAGAGCAAAGTCTACGAGTGGTAACATAGCGCTCCGGTGGTCCAGCGTTCAAGCACAGACGCTGCGAAAAACGCCTTCGACGACG